CAGCAAACTGACAGCATGCTGATTTGGTGATCAAACAGCGCCCTGACCACACCCCTCCCATCTATCGCTGACACCCTGCTCGGTAACTCGTCTCGAGACGCGACTGAGCCAGGCCCTTCGACCGGTTACCGCCGCCGGCATAATTCCGCCTGATTCCGACTGCACCGCTGGACACCACACTGCGGCGAGCGACCCCGCTGTCAGACTCGGGCCGAACGCACCCCCTCCCCTACCCCCACTCCAGCTGTGGCGAGGGTGAGGGTATTCACCGCATCAAACCTACAGGCCGCCTGGACCCTTATCTTGAGACCAATAGTACCTACCTGTCGGTCGCTACTGATCAAGGAAGCTACACACACGGTGTTGCTACAGAAACTGTTTAAAGTGTTAGAAACTTCCTGTCTTGCCGGGAGGTGCAGTCCGGACTCTGGCGAAGAACCTACGCACATAAGCTCCTACTGTTAATAGCACAGCGTAACTTCTTACTGGGTTCATCTTGCTATGGTGCTGTTCTGCTCGCAATCCCCGCACAGGTTTGCATTTCGGCCGTTCAGGTGTCACCGCTAGACGCTAGGGCAGAAGCCGCACGGTCTCAGAAGTACGGAATATAAGGAAGCGAGTGTGGACTTCGCTGTAACTTTTTTGAAAATGTAAGAAAGCGGCGCTTCACCACTCACCGAGCCACCTCCCAAGACGATCAGCGCCTCGGCGTCTATTCCGTCTACACGGCGGCATAGGAGCGGTCCGTAAACGTAAGGGGGCGGGGGTAGCTGGGTCAGTCGTCGGGCGAGCAGCAGACGCGGCGGTATCTGAAACCGCCTCACACGTCGACGAAATGTTCCAACGTTTGAAAGAAGTTGGCGATTGGCGACTACTGTTGCATGGGGCTAGTGATAATACAAATATTTGGCTCGCAAATGCTGTCCCTGAAATATGTTATGTGCGTGAGGGTGAATAAATGCACCAATCGTCGGATGATTATATGGGTCTGGGACAACAAATATAGTAATTAAATCATGGTACACCTCCCACATTCGGATATAAAGCACAAGTACGAACTAAGAGTTTAATCGCCATGCATCGCGTGACGAGTATCCACCGCCCAACACGTTACCTGAGAAGCGGATCTAAGCGTAATGTGTGTGTGTGGGGGGGGGGGGGAGGCACATTCTAATAATTTGCAAAGCCGGATCCACGGACTGGCGATGGATGATGACCGGCAGCTAACGTTTATGAACGGGAATGGCGGCCGATGATAGTCACTTGACGGACGTTGTTAATCGGGCAGGTCGGTTGGAAACAATAAATACCTAAGCCTAATACCTAATACCAAAGTTTTTAGGGGTGGTGGTGTTGGAGGTGGGAATCATGTTTAAAAGTTTAAGCAAGCATGTGCCTTAACCTTAGGACTCCTATCGGATCTGCCACCACATTGCCTCAACATTACACCTGTGTCAAAGCTCAATATGTCTATTTTGTGGTGTTATCTTCCTACTTCCAAATGCATGCGCCTAAAACCATGTCAATTTGGGAAATTTATGCTCCAAAAAAGTACAAAATATTCAACGAAAACCCTTTCATGTGGTTCCTAGGTTACTCCCTTGCATAGAATACCACTCACCAAAGACATTTATATCACGAAAATAAAAGAATAAACAGGCCGTATCAGGAGACTTCAACGCCACAAACTGATTTTGCTCGAAACTTTGACATGACGCGGCAGGATGGGTTTTAATTTCTCGAAAATTTTACTTGTACAGCTGGTCTTCGGTTGTCTTGGAGCAAAGGATAATCATAGGAGCACCGTGATCTGTGACTAGCGACACACCCTAATGAGAAGCCTACCGCCGAACCACCAGACGTGGTTTCATCCCATGGATATCACGCCGGCATACCGTAGCGGCGCGGCGCTGTCACGGGCGTCACGGGCGTCACCGACCGCTGACGCACGTCACGGCCGTGTCACGTGACGGTGTCACGGCGTGTCCGGCCGGAGTCACGCGGCGTCACGCCACTGGCAGTGACACACCTCCAGCGCATGTCACGGCCGACGGTGACCTACACACAGCAGACAGCGAGGCTACGAGCTAATGAGTTTATGAGGTTCGCATATCCGAAAAAAAAAACATAAAGCAGGCATATGTGACGCAGTGACCTACTATGTGACCACACACGTCGCCTAGAAGCGGTATCTGTATCACAGCGTGGCACCTGCCTCTATGCCTCCGACTCAAACTGGCTAGTTCGGCTAATTAATACAAACTAGATTGCACCACGGACACCTATCTTACACCTGTAGGAGCGCCACCCGGCCAGTAAGGAAACCGGAAGGCAGGGTGTATGTCCGCTGCCGTAAAAACACGCAGTGATTATAGAATGACCACATCCCCCGGAGGTTGGCGGTGGAGGCGAGCGGCGACCACAGCCCGGGGAGCGCCGCGCGCTCAGACCGGCTGCTCTAGAAGCCTCCGCAGCTCGGCAGAATTATGGGAGGTGCGATCCCAGAATGGTGTCGGAGGATTAGGGACACAGGGCGGCTGAAGCCAACCATCGAATACGTGCGTGAGTGGTATTAATAGGATTGAAATGAGGTTGTTCTATAAACCTGGGAGGATAATAAGTACAATCAGTTGAAGCGGTCATAAATATGCTTCCAGTAACAGGGGAGAAGGGGAGGGGAGAAACAGGAAAGATCCAAAAAGTAAACAAAAGTAAAAGTCTAATATCTTGAAAACCGGTGAATATTTTTCGGTGAAATTTGGTGGATATTCGTTTTCGCTCTTTCTGAACTGAGCGACTTCACTTTCATGCCAATTCATTAACTTTTTTGAAGGTGGGAGCCGGGAGGGTCCCTTTAATTCCCGTAAAACGAATAGGACAATTAGTCCTAAAGCCTGTAACTCAACAAGGCAATCGCTGAACTTGGTGTAACTTTGCGTGCGTTCGGCATCCGGATAATCAGGGAGAATTTTTCGAGATCACCGGGATCATTTGGCGTTTTAGGCGGACACCGTGCACAACGGTTATGACAATAGTAGAAGAGCCATTAGTGAAGCAAAAGCAATCTAAAGATGTGACTGATTGCATCAACGGTCCCTGCAATATCAAATAATTACCGGTGATTCCGGATAATTATCCCTCATTTTCCGGATGCCGAACGTAAGGTTTGTATCGCTGACATACGACGAAAGCATCCCTCCTTCATGCTTTTCGTGTGATTCCAGCACACCCACTGTTTCAGCTCGCCTGGAGTTACATATTTGCTATTTGCCCTTGAGCAAGATCAATAGGCCGTGCGTACGCCATTGCTGACTGCTAAGGGCTCTACCTGGGTGTGCTTGCAGATCACAGTCGTTATCATCAACATGGCTTTCATAAGTGATCCACAAACATTTTTGTCGCATACCAAACCATTCGAGCCTTCAGGGAGTTGGTCGCAAATCTTAGTTATTTGGTTAGTAGATAATCAGTTCCCCCGGTGTTATAACCACGTGTTCAAACCGCTCTACCGGGTGTAACTGTTTTTCACTACCATACTCGAGCAAAACGAGGTCATCTTCATCGCAGGGGCGGCTCGAAGGACAAAAATTATGACGTCTGCAATAATACCACTGCAATAATGTGTTTCATTTAAGTAGCATTCTAATTATCGTGCCCCTATCTCGACAAATCAGATGGAATTAAAATCCAATAGAGCAAATGTTAACAGTTCACCTAAGCAGATTACTCTGGAGACAGAGATGTCATTGCGTCATTATTGGAACCCTCTACGGCCGACCCACATTGGTGCCAATCGGCGATCGCTTCTGACCGGCAAATGAGTTGCCTCACACACGTCTCGCAGCATTCCGGGGGAACACGCGGCACACGCTGCTCGTCGATCGTCGGCGCAATACCGGCGGCGCGGCGCGATTGGCACATTAGCGCCGGCCCGGGTCGCCAGGTCAAGGTCCGACGCCGCCGGAAGAGGTGCCCAAACGCCCGGGCGCCACAAGGACGGGACATCTTCTCCCGGATATTTCACAACACACCGGCATAGGTCGCTGTTTTCCGGCGCCCAGGTGCCGTGTCAAAACAACACCTCGGTCACCATGGTTACGTGCCGCTGAACAATGCTAGTCGAGTGGCCTGCAGGTTGCCATGGCAGCAGAGTGCATAACGGTGATGTCTCACCGCTGCAGATGTCGCCGGAAATGTTGACAAGTCAAACGGAAATGCTTTGAAAGCCGCAAGGCTCGGCCAGGTGCTATTTGCAATGTAGATGGGAGATAAGCCGATACAAAAAGGCAATTCATCCTGACCGAATATGGCCTTGTTGGTCAGGTTCTGAACGTGACTGTTGTTCCGTTTTAACAGCCCTTTAAAAGATGACAAGGAAGATACTAGATAGGTAATTGTCATGACCAATTTTGACAAGAAATGACTTCGTGAGCTCATTATCTTATCGTTATAATATACAGCGAGCCCATTTCATAGATTAAAATGTCCCGCTGATATCAATCAGTGGCTGATAGTGGCTGATGACATCAATCGATTTCAACCAGCATCGTTCGGATTCTAGAAAGGACCCAAAAGCACCTGGAATGCTGGAGGCCTCGAAAAATAAGAACCGTTCCATCACCTAACACCACACAGGATCGGCGAGGTTCCGGAGACCAAAACAAACAGCCCACTGCCAGTGCATCCCGAGCCTTCCCCGAGAGTAACGGACCGTGACTCTGACCCCGTCAGTGGCTCCAATTACCTCTCTCGACAAATTAGCCGCGCTCATCCGGCTGCAGCTACCCAGATAAGCGCCGCACCGTCTGGCCGCGTGTAATTCGCGGAACACCGGTCCATCGGGCAGGGAAACTATCTCACCTAGCCTATACAGCAACCGGCTCGCAACACCGACCGATAACACGTCAAATAAGCTGACGACAAACGTCCGACACCGAGCTGCCAGGTGTCTGACGGATGTCCACCTGCACACGTCCATCCACTCCAGGATTGGCACTCACCAGAGGTTGACATACTGCGTCATCTCCACATGGTCGCTAATGTTGCCCTTGTCGATGTGCCGGTCCAGGAAGCCCTGGAGCGCCACGCGCGGGTCCAGCGGCCGCTTCAGCAGGTGCTCACACTCGGGGGAGTCGACGACGGCGGCGCGCGCGGTGCGCAGGCCGCGCCGGCCCACCGGCACCCGGTCCAGGTTCGTCTCCAGGGACAGGAAGCGCATCTGCTCCACCAGAGACATGGCTGCGGCGCTGGACGGACGACCGAGAGGTGGCGGAGGAGGCCGACCGGCAGGTCTGCGAGCGCCGCTGCGTCGCCAACTGCCGGGCCGCGCTGCCGGAGCCGACTGGGCAGGCCGGGCCGGGCGGCCACCACCTGAGCGGCCAGCAGTGGCCGGCCGGCCGGCCTCGAGACGCCGCCAGCGCCACGGCGCCGGCGACGGTCGACCGCCGGCGCCGCCCGCGGCCCGGCCACCGGGCGCAGGGGGTTCCGGAGCAACAGGTCGACTGGGGCGCCCAGGGCGGTGGTGGCGAGGGGCGGGAGCAGCGGACACCATAAACGAGCCAGCCTATTGCCTGATGAGGAATGCTGCACAAAGTTCCGGCCGGTGACACGGCGGAGGGTTCTGCAGCTAATTGCTGGTGGTTCGACAGTGGTCCGATGTCGTCCGACCGCGCTACCGTGGCCGGAGGGCGGCTGTAGACGGTCCGCGGTCCTGGGGCGGCTACACAGTGGCCCGGGCGCGGTCAGAAATTGCAAGTGATTGGATGTCGGCTTGGGCTGCCCGTGTGGCGTGTTCCGAGGGTGGTCAAACAGCAGCTGTCCAGTCCCCGGATAAGCTGGGTTATCGGTCATCCTGGCAACATGAGAATAGGACGGCAGTCGGCAATCCTCATGAAGTGCCTGTCAGCTAGCAAAGGAAGAAACGAAAAACAGTTCCCGTGATGTCTCGAATCATCAGCAATTAGAAGCAGCGCGATGCATCTTTGCCGCGAGCCGACAAAACTGAGTCAATCAGAAACCTGTTGCCCTGATTGAAATGTAGCAATGGGCAACCAGTTATGCTCTTCCTCATGATACAATGATTTGCGAAAATCACTCCTACTTTTCATCAAACAATCCTGAAGAAAGTGCAAGTCATGAAGCAAAGCGGATGAAATTGCAAAATTTATTTCACAAGGATATGAACTTACGGTGGACATAACTTCAAGATGAGCAGACATCCTGAAAGAACGCCACGGGATGGATATATGAACTTTAAGATCAGCTCATTGATCTCACAGTAAACGGTTTCAGTAAGGTTCAGGTCATTCCATAACAGTGTCCGCAGTCCGTACCCATCGTCCACCCGCAGCGGAGGAGAGCCGGGGGGGGGGGGGGGGGGGAACTGGGGAGAACCGGGGGGGGGGGAGGTGCAGGGCCATTAGCGGCCACTATCGAGTTCTGCTCCCCGAGAGAACAGCTCCTGTCATATGACCGCTGGCACTCACGCGACGCAGGCACGAAGCCAATGCTACAGAGCGCAGAATGAGGTGCCCACTTACCAGCGATCGATGAGGGGTGAACGATCATGAGAGGAAGGCTAATGGATGAGGAAGGCAAGGATAAATATGAATGTCATTTGATAAATTGGAATTGATTTTCGCACCAAAATACGCAAAACTCCTTTACATAAGTTGGTGGTATAAATCATCCGCTGAACCTTAAAATGCCTACATAATATCCATTGGTCAGTTGGTCACCACCCAGCTACCACGGCGGAAGTGAGGAGGGGAGGTGACCGAGTGGCGTGCTTCACGACCGGTCAGCCGACTGGATCGAAGTGGCAAATAATGGATCGTGTCAGCTGGCACTACCGGGCCAGCTGCTGTCCATATTTGTCACAGGTGTCAACAGCTCCCGGAAAATGGATGAACGCTCCGGAAAGGCCATTTCCATAACGAGAAACTGAACGGTTTAGATATCTAGCAGCAGCATAACGAGTGCCTTGGAACATACAGCGCACCTGCTGCACACCCCGGTAACGGCGGAAGGTCCAGAGGTGCACTGGCGACTTGATAAAAATACAGCGACATGCTGTCAGAAATCGATCGTAAGCAGCGCGGACTCAGGAAGGGTCAGGGGTGTTACCGTGCAGTGCTCAATCGGGTGAGAGCCGCGAAAACATCAGGGCCACAAAATACTGTCACCACTTCCCAGGTGTCCATAGCGCTGAGGAACTGACCAGCTGACCACCCATTATCGCTACTGAGAGCAAGATGCCTTCTTCCAGACGCCCTTTTTACATTCGTCTCATCATGGGAGCACCCAGGAAGGAGACATTATTTCACCAGAACTTTCTGAAGAGGAGTTGCATCGAGCGGATCAGACACAAATGATCCCCAACGAATCTGGAGTGAAAAGGACCAACTTGCACCGTCGCCACGCTACACACAGACTCGGGCAGGCACAATCGAAACTCGAATCGCATCTTACTACGCCACGCTGCGTTTGCCCAAAAAATTGCGGCATGAGCCACGAACAGCCAACAGGCCGCCTCGGAGAAACTATCTCAGACTATAGTAGCCCACTCCAGCGTTCTGCCATAGCGTAACAACCGCCCCACAAGGCAGGCGGTTACATAACTCAACCAGAACTAGGCACAAGAGTGGGCTATCACCAGTAATTTGTACTGAGCTGAATCTCCTGGAATCCACTTACAAACTCTGTAGCTCGCTCGATTAGCCCAGAGTAGGACTAAGTGAAACAATCTGGGTAACCGTCTAACCGGCTATCCCATTCAAACAACAACAGCAATGGTGAACAGAGAACACGCTCGGCCAATAGATGTCTCGATGGAGGCGAGAACTGAGACATTGTGCCCAGCATTCACCCAAAGCTCGATATAACTGTGCTGCTCTGCAACTTGGGCACCAGCAGACCGAACAGATATCTAACAAAGACTCCTCCCTTACCCAAATCATGCCCCTCTCCAGGCTACAATCTGACCTAACCGACACCTCAGTCGCCACTCAGCCGCCGGTGCACGGTAGGCAGACCGTCAGCGACGGACCCGGACAAGGCCGGGGGATTATCTCCAAAGCCAGGAGCCGCGGGGTAACTGACGGATTACTGTCGGCAGGCGCTGTCTGCCGCAGCGGTCAGCTGCTACCGCGTCACTAATCCAAACTAAATGAGTGACCAATATAGCCAGTTTTACCAGGAAAAATATCACTCTCTGAGTTACTCTGTCACGCCAGGACACCAAAAAGCTCGACTGTCATAGGTAATAAGACGTTAATTGAGAGACAAGTAGCAGGCGTCCTCTGTGGTGCTACTTCCTTTCCGCATTAAAATCCCTTCATGATTCGTGTGACCCCATTCTTTGTGAGCTAAAGCCTCGTTCATACAAGTGATGTCGGTCAAAGGCTGAATCGCACGGACAGATGCTTTTGACATGGGTCAAGAGTAAAAGACATCCTTCGCAATAAGTTCCAAGGATACCATATTACGTTGGTTCATTAGGGCAGACAAGACAGCATAATGCCAAGCTTGGTAGAATCCTCCACTTGAAATAATTCTTAAATTAATTATGGTATGCTTGTGCCAAGCAATCGGTGTCGAACGCCACCACTACCAGAATACTCGAACGCCAGCCAGCTCCGCAATAAGGTCATGCTTCAAGGTTATCTCGTATGACAGTCACATATTTCCGTCAGAAATCATCGACGAGCTATTCACCTCTTCAGACTTCAGCGCCAGCCGCCAGGCTTCGATAAGCATCACACAGCATACCACTCAGTCATTCAGCAAACGAAAATGCACCCGTCACTCGAGCCAACAAAACACACACGACTTATTTGAACTCTGGGTAGTCGGACAACCAGTCACCGCACCCAGGACTAGGGAGGCAGCGGAGCCACGCCCTGCCCTAAATGTTCTGCTCCTCCCTGCGGTAATTTTCATTACAGGGTGTGGTGATGTTCGAACAGCGAGACGTAAAGCGGAAAGAATACCAGACAAAGCAAATGTCGGGATGGTTGGGTGATACTTTTTAGATATATTAACCCGCGCCCTGATGGGGAGGGGGCATTTTGGCCCCCCTGTGGTTTTTCTTAAATAGCTAAAAAAAACGGCGGCGCACAGCGCCGCCAAATTTTGGGTACCTTACCGGGCATCAATTTGACACCTCCACACAAAATTTCAAGTCACAGGTCACCTCAGGTCAGGAGTTATTGAGGTCAAACTGAGGTCATGTTCGAGTAAAAATGAGCAAAAAACATGACATCGTGAAATGCTCACCAATTCTACAGTTAACAAGCAATTTTAAAGTTCTTTATGTGGTTGTGTAGAGGAAAGACGGCGCTACAAAACTGCTATCTCGGATTTTCTAAATTTTGGGATTGTGACCCCCAAATATAAAAAAATGATTTTTTTTAGAAAAACTAAAAAAATTTCCATTTTTTCGAATTTCGAAAAAACGGAATATAGGTATGTGATAGTCCCTGCGCTCTTCGATATACATACCAAATTTTAGATCGATACCTCTTTTTTGGCCAAGTTATAGCGAAAAAACTGTTAAAAATTGATGACGTCAAATTTTTTAGCTCAATTTTTTTAAGCAATTTTAGACCTCGTAGCGCAAAACGGAGACCACCATTGAACTCCCCGTGACGAGCTGCATCGAATCGATACCCATTTTATGCAAAATATCAACTTTGAAATTTGACCTTTTTTGACCTGACCTTGACCTGACCTTGACCTGACCTTCACCAAAACATAATCTCAATTGATCCCAAGGGCTGCCTGTCCCACATACTCGCATTTGGCATATAAAATGGACCATAAAACATGCATCACATGATATTTTTAATTTGTGACCCTCAGTCACCTGACCTCTGTGACCTGACCAGGTATCACTGACCTCAAATAGAAAAATATGTGTTTGACGATCATTATCCCATCGATGATTTTCAATGAAATGCATTTTACTCGATTTTACAACGCATTTCTTGAAATGCCTGTAAACGGTGAAAATTCGACCTTTGACCTGACCTGTGACGTCATCGGTTTGACCGAGGTCAATGAAATTGGGTCACAAGGTAGTTCCCCGTTGGGGTTATCCAACGCCGTTTACCGCTTGTCGCTATGTTGCGTGGTTCTCGAGATCTTAGGGGGGGGGGCAAAATGCCCCCCCCCCCATCAGACCGCGTTGCTCGGCAGACCCCATCAGGGCGCGGGTTAACCTCCTCATCCTTCCCACTGCTTTATCGGAATGAAAACTGCCCATGCCAATCCTGCCGGAAGGCCAGTCATATTCACTGTTGACTGGCGACTATCTATGTACATATACAAACACAGGTGCGGCAAGACACCAAGTATGCACAGTGCACACCGCCCAGAACATGCAGAATGCCTGTCCACTGTCCATTGACAAATGCAAATCCAGCGGTAGTAAGCCGCTCAGAGGGAGACACTATCGCCTTTAAAGTGACCATCCCACCTTAACATTAGTTTTGAGTTGAGATAGCCAAATTGGTGGCCATGGCCTGCAAATACCGGTTTGGGCACTCACAACATCGAAAAATGCTTTAATTCGGAAAAATGGAATTTCA